TGTCTCGACAAAGTCTAACGAAGCCCGAGGCCAACAGTCAGTCAGTTGGAGCGAAATATCACAGCACATTTTACAGGCAGGAGTAAACTGCCACATCAGCAGGCTCAGTAATGGAGGAAGGTGAAAACAGTTAAGGAGTTCTGGCAAAAGATCCAACTCCATTCTGAAAGAATAACGTTTCAACAGCTGGCCTGTGATAGTCTGGATAAAAGTGTGTACTTAAGCATTGTTTCCTCTGAGATTCTCATTCTATGGTACTAAATAGGAAAAACGTTCTAAGGCAACTTCCTGCTATCTCACATTCAGTGTTTTTATACTCCTTTCATTTTGGCTGCTAGCTATTGGAAAGCTGAGAGATGCTGACAGGACAGAGCTGACAATTCCTAAAGCTGGTTCTCCCACTTAACCTTCTTACCTATCCTCCCAAAGCAACTGCGTCCTACAGATCCTGAGAAAGAGGTAAGGAATATCGGTTTAAACCTCTTTCCAGCTTGGAACTGGCATCACAAGAGGGGAAGCAAACTGCAGGAGAAGCACTATTTACATATTTGAAGCATACCCTATCACTCATCTTAAATCAAGCCCTATCTCATAACCTGAACCTCAGCCCTATCATCTCAAATCAAACGCCTATCTAACTCTCGTGTTCAGAAACTGCTCCTTTTATTCTTCCCCCCAAAGTGCTGATCCTCCCCACTCTGTGGCTAGCTGATTCTGTAGACGACCAGAGAGAGGCTCCAGCACTCTGTTGGAATTTCAGAGGGACTCCATCACCAGACTCTGGTTTGATTCTGCTGTCCGTCACCATGGGCATTGCCATTAAAATGGTGTGTGAGCGCTACTTCATATGATTATGCGGGGTGGGACTTACCTGCCCCCCCCATTATTTTATTCAAGTTGGTGCCCCTGGCAGCCAGGAAGGTTTGCATGGGAGAGGTGCCCCCAAACCTCTGCAGGGACAAACAGTATAGAAAGTGAGATCACATGTGACTGCCCCAATAGATAGCATCATGAGCACAAATAACCATGAAAGCAACATAAACAGGATGTCTGGAGGGGCCCTAAGGGTTTTTCTAAGATTTCAGAAAGACAACTCTGGGGTGTGACATAGAACTCTTGGCCACACTGTTTTGAAATCTGTTGATGGTCCAGAGGGGCAGCAAAGCCTTAAAAAGTAGTACAGTGTCTATCAGCACTTCACTTGACGCAATGAGATTGCATTTCCTGTGGCAGCTGCACACTAGTTTGTAAGAGCTCCTCATCAAAACGGCATGCCAGCAACTTCTGTTATAACACAGATATACACACGGTGTGGCTCCTCACAGAGCTTTGTTTATATACATATCTTCTGAAATAACATAACTCACTTTGGTCCCTGATCTGTTTAGCAGTCAAAAGGCTGAAGTGTCTTGAAAGAGAAGAGACTCACTATAATTAGGGGCTCTTATTTAACTTCAGATATATCACTGTAAGATCTCCTTTTGTCTGGGGTCTGCAGAGTCGCTTGCTTCTTCTTTGAATTCAACATATACTGAACAACCTCAGGGAGAAGAATAAATTAATTGTCTCGGATTCAAAAGTAGGGATAAGCGAATGTCAATTTCAGTTTTCTATGTTTCTCATATTTCCAGTCTTAAGTTCTGTTCTGCATATTTCCACATCAGTTTGCAGTTTTTAAAAAGCCCTCTCACACATTCCTTAGAATTTTAGTGTGAATTTCTCCTAGTATACACAATTTTGTATGCAACTTTCCCCAATACACACATTCCCCCCTCCCCCAAGCAATCTTTACTAATATAATGAGTTTAAATGAGAACTGACTTGAATTTATCCCCTCTCCCTGCTCAGAAGTAAATTCCACTGAGTTCAATAGGACTTACTCCGAGGGAGGTGGGTACAGGATTGAAATCTTAATAATGGAAGTTGTTCTTTAACCAGCAGACAAAATTGGCAGAGTATGCTGTTCAAGTCTGGCCTTTTGTTGTAGACAAGACTTTTGCCTTGATAATTGCACAGCCTGAATATTTAATATACACATATACAGATAAACATATTCACATACAGATTCAAGACATCAAACTATCTCTGTGAAGACAACCCTTTTTCTTTTCCCCTAACAGACCAAGGAGTCTTTCCCCCCCTTATTTTCCCAAACCATAATTCTGAAGTGTGCAAGGCTGACTAGCTTAATGCAGCTTAAAAGCATGAGATGATCTATTATAGCACCATTGTGGGCTTTTATATCCCATTTGTGCCGTGGTCATTTTGGGTGTTCTACCCTTTCATTTGACCAGGCAACCTAAACCATGAAAATGTTTAGAAGTGGTTAGCCTGGTTTTCATCTCTCCAGCAACATGTAATATGTGGAATTCACTTGTCGGGAGACCTAGGTTTGAACTTCAACTAGAAACAGCAGGGAGACCTTCAGCATGATTCTGTTGAAAATGCTTTTGTTCTAGCCCTGACAGAGCTTCAGATGATTGTCTCTGTGCATAATAACATCTGTTCGGGTTTTTGAAAGTCTCACAACCACCCTGGTAGTCTTGCACTGGAGCATTTGTTAAAGAAATGCTATGAGGCACCCATAATATCCTGACCAGATTTCCATGTAACTTGTACCACTTTATAGGCATACCATAAGCAGACTTTTTTTTTTAGTACTTAGGACAGCTTGCTTAGGAACTGGTATATTTTAACCATTGTATAACAGCAAAGTTTTGTATCACAAGGAGGAAACCAGAGGCTGTTGGACTTCTGGGAGTTAATTTTTGTTTTCCTATTCCATTTTTAATAATTTTGTTTTGTTATTGTATACTCTTTTCTCCATAAGTAGTACATAAAACAGAATCCCACACTGAAATGGATTTTTCTGTCTTACCTCTGTGGCCCCTTAAGACCTGACATCTGCATTCTGATGTTCCACTGACTCACAAGAGCAATTTATTACCAGCAGGTAACTGGCTCAAGGGTTGAGTAATTTATAATGGAAGACTTCACCTCTGAATTCCTTGGTCATGTGATGGTAGTTCAGGTCTTATTTCAATTATACAAACAGGTGTCCCCATGACACTTTGCTGTAATTAGAAGGCTACCTAAGAGCTAAGAGACAGCAGAATGATGATGTGCAAATTTTTTCTGGTTCTGTACCCAGGGAAGATATTAGGCTATAAATTTACTTATATTCTACTGACTCAGGAGAGGCCTAATGTATATTTCTTTACACCAAATCTATTCAGGAGTAAGCCCTTTTTTGTCTGGTGTGATAAGCAGTAGGTTGATGATGTGCCAGCTTTAGACTAATTTTCGTGACTTGAAAGTATGCTGAAGGGTGAGTTGAGATGTGGGATGAAGGACAAACTACACATGATGCAGCAGACCCCTATTTGGATCTCTCCATATTTTGGGCCCTTTCCTAAAATAAGTTGTAGGTGAGTTGGTGTGGGTATGCACACACGAACAGGGTTCAGGCCTGCAACGTGGAGAGAGAAGAGTTTTATACTATGCTAGCTTCCTAATGCAAACCCCTCTTCCCCAGAGCTCTTAGTTATGGAAGGGAAACACACAAGCAGTCTCTGAAGCAGGAGGTTCTCATAAGAAATGTAGGTCCCCCATACCACAGCGTCCATCTAAACTGGAACACCTGAGGCTTTGTTTTTTTTTTTTTAGGAAAAAGACATCAGGCTATCTGGCTAATGATCTCCCATGTCATGCCTTATCTTTCGAAGCTGCTGCTGCATTTTCTCCTGGCAGTGGTGCTACACTTTTAACAGGGATGCTACAAGCAGCACAAGTGCAGACCTCCCTATCACATCATTTCCACATTGGCAACAAGATGCATTTTCCATGTATGGAGCAAACAACAAAAATGTGACAAACCTAATTTCATTTGTTGTGCAACCTACTGTCTTGCCAAAGGCAAGGTGGTTCTTTTAAAATGAGATTCAGAAGCAATACAAAATACACAAGTAAGTGAGAAGAGTAAAGATTTTATTCTAAAACAGCAAGCAATGTATACATACCAAGCAAGCACTTCAATCTGCCACTTGGAAGCTCTCAAGAAGTGGTGAAGTGACTTCCCCAGGTAGCCTCAGTTTGCACGGCCCTGCAGCTGATCAGTCCGTGCACGAGCGTCAAAGAAACTCTGCCCAAACCGTCCAATTTTATAGACAGCCTGTTGGGCCTTAAAGACTGCTTACGTGCAGATCATCTATTAGCCACCCCCTCCCAATGCCTCACTTTCTCAAAACATTGTCCAACATCTAAGAAGGTACCCAGCGTTATCCTCTACAACTGATGAGGCAGCAGGGGCGGGGGGCTTCACCTCTTCCCAACGTTCTCACAACATCTAAGACTGTTCTCACAACATCAAAAAACTTAACAAGAGCGAGGGAGGGGGAAGGAACAGAGGCAGGAAGGGCTTTGTGTCAGATCACTAACTCCTCGATACATTTTGTCTTCTGGGTGCATTTCCCATACACCTACCGATGGATGTTCAGATTAGGTTTGGTAGACTGCCATCCAGAGATTTCTCCCTTGATCTTTGAAACTGCCGTGTAACAGGGAGCTGAGGCAGCAGGTGTAACATCTGGCCCTGCCACATGGTAGGTGAGTGTGTGGGTGAACAAGAGCCAGGGCAGCAGATGATGTGGCTCCCTCTTCTCCTGCTATGCTGGGGGAATTTAAAGCTACACCCACATTCTTCAGGTTGTGACCTAGCAACCCTAGTTCAGAAGACCAGGCATTTAACTAGGCCACTGTTGTCCTTGCAAGGCTTTCTGGCAGCACATCTGATAAAACGCTTGCATGCAAGAAACAGTGTGGGCTTGGACACAGTGAAGCAATTTCAAGTCAATGACTTCAGCACACACCAAGGCTCAACCCACTTCTGTCTGAGCATAACAGGATCTCTAAGTGGAGGAAATCAAGCCATTGCTATGAATCTTAGTCTTTATTTTGTATCCTTTGAATAATGGACAATAATCAGTAATGAATCAGCAAGATTTATGATCACTGAATATTTTTTTATTGTGCTTTCAGGAATATGTGTTTTACCTTCCTTTTTTCCTACAGAGTTTTTGTAATAGAATCCAGAGCTTCTCAGGAATAAACTTTATTCTGAACTTCATACAGATGAACATTGCCAAAGCACATGGGAAGATTTTAGAAGTTATTATTTCAAGTTTATACAACCAGATCCTTGGACTTGTGATGATTATTACAGCAGATCATCCTTTCCAAAGGTGAACTAGTCCACAACAGGCTGCTTGCAATCTGGCATATCATGGTTTCTTTGGCTGACAAAACAGCGTACTGACAAACTTGCAATCTGAGTCTATGTCCTTTGAGTCAATATGGAACTACTTCCAGTCCTTGGGCTGGTGAAAACAAAAGCTGATCAAAAGTGAAGAGGTCCTGGCATTTAAGGACGCCCCCACAGGCAAACAATTGCTTGCACAGTATCAGATTTTCTAAGAAAATTCCTAACAGCCCAATCCTATGCATTCTTGCTCATAACAGCTGTGCTGAGCTCATGGGCTTACTACCAAATAAGTCAATTCTATACCCACTGACCTGGGAGTAAGCCCAACTGACCTTATGTGAGGTTGACTTCTTCATAGATGAGGCACAGGATAGTTCTATTAGGAATTTTGTCTGCTTGCAATATTAGGAACTGGCCCAGTTTGACAAACTCAGGACCCTGTTCAGTCTACTGCCCTTTGTTATGAATTGTTATTCACCACCAGATCTTCTAAAGAATAATACTGGTTCCTTCTATGACAAGGACCGTGTGGTCATATTAGGGGGAAAGTGCACAAAGAGGTGATGTACACCAGTCCTTGTGGCTTACAAAAATGTGGAAGTAGAAAATAACTCTGATTTAAATTAATGGGACCAAACATTAAAGCACTGAAGCTTATTTAGATTGTGAAATTATGGGCAGTTATTACCAGGAATCAGAGTCCCTCCCCATTGTGGAGGAGCGGCTGTGTACCCTCCCTACCATGATCCTTGAATCCTACGTATAACAGCCTTATTCACACACATTCCTTCCTTTTCTGAGTAGTTAGCCTGCTAGTTGGACCTTCATTCAAGGTCTGTATATGCACAGAGCTGTCTTGTGTCTCATATTGCTCCAGAAGGTGTGTGCATGGCTGAGGGCAAGTGCATGCTCCTGTACCATGGGAAAGGACCTATATGATTTGTATGTATGAAAATAACTGTGATGGATGGAAGTGTCAAAGTGTTTATTATCACATCATGAACTGAAAAGACGGCAGCAAATTCTGAACGGGAAAAATTAGAAAGCATTATAGACCCATACTCATTGCTCATCTATTACGGCGAACAGAAAACAGTTAATTTCTTTTTGGATCTGTTTGGGGTTTTTAAAACTGTATTGTTCAGATTTCATTGGTAAGCTTCTCAATTAGCATCTGACATATTCATTAACACTATATAAAGGCATCTGGATTTTCTTTTCCTTACATAGTATTTATTTGGTTGCCATTAGCTCACCACTTGATAATAATGATCTTGGAGGTTTAGGATAGTAACCAGCAGTTATTGAGGTATTTGAAGAAAATCTGGTGAATCTATAATCCAGTGGTAAATCTGCAAGAAACAAACAGACCATTTCTTGATCAGGTATGCAGCTTACATCGCATCTAGGAAATCTCTTTTAAGCTAGGAAGAGCAGTGTTTTTCTTCTTTAAGCTCTTCATCCGTGTGCTTATTATTGCAAGCATTTAATCATATGATTACATATATGGCACATAGAGTTCATATGCTTGAGTATGATAATGGTCGTTGGCTATACCAGGAAAGCCAAACATTGTTTAAAAGAAAAGGTTTTCACGTGTGAAACTTGTATTAATAAACCTATTTTCTCCTTTGTAAAGCATGTAAAGGTTCAGCAATAATAAAGAAACTATACATGCTAGCATTTCAAAGCAAAAAAAGAGAAAAACTCTATTTTGAATCCACCATTTAATGTGAATAAAAGTAAGAGCAATATGATGCATTTTATAATTGTGGCTTTGTAATCTCTTTATTTTTATGACCATATGGAAAAGCAATAATGTGCAAAGTATTTTGAGCACTACACTCTTTGTTGATATTGGTGCAACAGATCAACAAGCTTACCACTCTGGAAATAGGGGGGTGGGAACCATGTACAAAGATAAAAATGCTGTTATTAGTTAGGTTGATACTGTGGGAAAGTTTTTAAAGTGCTTTTGTAATGTGCTCTTAAACAGTGTCTAGGGAGCACCTTCTGGAATGTTAGACAGGGACAGATTTCAAATGTGATTACATACAAAACCTATTGTAATTGTATACCTAAAGGGATGCTTACCGTGGCATAAAATTCTCCTTTAGATAACTAATGTCAACACATTAAAGGTACCTTGCATTCTTGCAAGAAAGGCTACATATCACACTAATTGCATAAAGTTAGGTATTTCACTCTCTGATTCCAAGCTAACTTCATAGGAATATGATTTATTGAATGCCATACATTAATAGGTTTCACTTCTTCTGTCATAAGGTTTTGTACTCTGGATAGGAATCTATCCAATATGGGGAGATAAATATTTAGGGAGGATTTCAACATCATGTTAGGGCATTTGTTCCGCCCGTGAAAGCATTTTGTGGGATAGAGCAAGCCCTGTTGTTTAAATGGAAGCCCTTTTACAGAGCTTCCACTGATGGGGCTCAATAGTTCATTTTCACCCCCCTTCCCTGCACAATCTCTTTTAATGTTGCCTGTGTTTTGCCCATATACCTTTTCTTTCATTGACTGGTTACACTTAAATCAGTATTACTATTCCCCACTGGACTGAAGATTGCTGCTTGCAAATAATCACTGATCCCCCAACATGTGGGCTGCACTCGACCACTTTCAAGGGTGACTGTATGCTCACCTTCAAGGCAAAGGGTTCCAAAAGGACCTGTCCAAACTGGGAGAATGGGCAGTAAATGGTAAGAACAATTCAGTGTGAGCAAGTGTGCATGATAGGGCATACTATCATGATTTCACATATATGATCAAGGGGTCAGAACTGGGTTTTTTAGTTTAGAGAAAAGGTGAGAAAAGCTGTTCTATTATTGCAAATTCTAGTGCTTAAATTTTGTTATGACAGGGAAGACGTCCGACCTTGTCTTTGGAAGACCCAACACTAGAAGCTCACTGCTGAAAGAAAATACTGATCAAATTAACATTTTTCTGATGTCTTTTTTCTGATCATAATGAACTTGGAGAGTCATTTGGCAGAACTTGCCTGAACTTGGGGAGTCATTTGGCAATTTGAATGCCACAGCTAAGATCTGTTTTTTCTGGAAAGTGGTTTGGGGGAATACACTTCCACTGCAAGCCACTGTTGTCAAGGATGAGTCCACCATCCAGGAAGTCAGTCCCACATGGTAACACTGGATATTTGTTTTATTTAAAACATTTAGTCACGGCTATAAGGGTGGCTTACAAATAAAACATTGGGGGGGGGGGAGTTTAGAATGTTGCAACCTGCAGCTAAAATCCAGCATAAGATGAGCACAATGTTGGTGTGTTTTAATTTTCTATCTTTATTGTTTGTTATTCTTTTTGTGAGGTGTCTTGTAAGAATCTTTAATGGCAGGATACGGATAATGAAAAGAAGTACAGTGGTACCTCAGGTTACATACGCTTCAGGTTACAGACTCCGCTAACCCAGAAATAGTGCTTCAGGTTAAGAACTTTGCTTCAGGATGAGAACAGAAATTGGGCTCCAGCGGCGCGGCAGCAGCAGGAGGCCCCATTAGCTAAAGAGGTGCTTCAGGCTAAGAACAGTTTCAGGTTAAGTACGGACCTCCGGAACGAATTAAGTACTTAACCTGAGGTACGACTGTACTGTAAAGATTTAAATTACAAATTAAATTAAGAGAAATTAATGAATTGCATTTTAAAAGTAAGTTAAATTAAATTAGAATCATAGAGTTGGAAGAGACCACAAGGGCCATCGAGTCCAACCCCCTGCCAAGCAGGAAACACCATCAGAGCACTCCTGACATATGGTTGTCAAGCCTCTGCTTAAAGACTTTCAAAGAAGGAGACTCCACCACACTCCTTGGCAGCAAATTCCACTGTCGAACAGTCTTACTGTCAGGAAGTTCTTCCTAATGTTTAGGTGGAATCTTCTTTCTTGTAGTTTGGATCCATTGCTCCGTGTCCGCTTCTCTGGAGCAGCAGAAAACAACCTTTCTCCCTCCTCTATGTGACATCCCTTTATATATTTGAACATGGCTATCATATCACCCCTTAACCTCCTCTTCTTCCAGGCTAAACATGCCCAGCTCCCTTAGCCGTGCCTCATAAGGCATCGTTTCCAGGCCTTTGATCATTTTGGTTGCCCTCCTCTGGACACGTTCCAGTTTGTCAGTGTCCTTCTTGAATTGTGGTGCCCAGAACTGGACACAGTACTCCAGGTGAGGTCTGACCAGAGCAGAATACAGTGGCACTATTACTTCCCTTGATCTAGATGCTATACTCCTATTGATGCAGCCTAGAATTGCATTGGCTTTTTTAGCTGCCGCGTCACACTGTTGGCTCATGTCAAGTTTGTGGTCAACCAAGACTCCTAGATCCTTTTCACATGTACTGCTCTCAAGCCAGGTGTCCCCCAAGAAGAAATTAAATTAAAAGAAATTAAATTAAATTAAAAGAAATTAAATTAAAAGAAATTAAAAATTAAATTAAAAGAAATTAAAAGAAATTAAAAGAAATTAAAATGGAAAAATGTCCTGTCTCTTTTGGCAGGCAAGCGTCTCTCAGGTAAGGGTGTTCCCTATCCTGAGAATAGCCACCTGCCTGCTCCTGAACACCTATATAGTACTTCCATTGGTCACGGATATCAACCAAGCTTTAAAGTTCTTGACATTTCACTGGGGAAGGGCAGCTGAGGTTCCTAACTTGGGATGCACCAACTGTAATGCTATGTGGGGAGAAGAAAGGGCACAAGGAGCTCAGAAAAGGGCAAGGAGCTTTGACTCCCTTCAGGATTCAGAGACTGTTATAGCCACTACTGCTTGTTTCAAAACAACTTTTAAGTATTCTCCCAATTTGTATCTTACCTAGAATCATAGAATAGAATCATAGAGTTGGAAGAGACCACAAGGGCCATCGAGTCCAACCCCCTGCCAAGCAAACTGATGTTTAAATCATAAACAATATAAAACTTTTTAAAATTTTACATGTGGAAAATAAAAGAAAATTGCATTCTTAGTTTACTTTTTATCTTCCATTTCTCAAGAGACAGAGTACCAGGTAATCAGAATGAAAACATATATTTTGTTATTATTGGTCAACCTGAGACAGCATTTGTCTGGACATTTCTTTGGGGGGGGGATAATATGCTTTTGTCTTTGGCTACAATTATTTGTGAAGAAACCCTTCTTATTTGAGGAGATTAGAGAGATTACTTGGTCTTAATATTCTATGGAGCTCCAAGTACAGCTCATAAAGGATTTACATTTCTGGGTTATCTCTTCCATTTGGATTAGATTATAATTATCTGATGAGTTGCTTCCTTGAATGTCTGACTAACCACCGTTTTGTTTCTGGGTATTCAATTTTGACAGAACAGCTTGTGATATTAATCTGTTTTAATGGTTTGCAAGTTTGTCAGTAGACAGAAGGGGGCCCAGCTCCAGCCTCTTGTGCTTACTGAACATCGAAATGCTTTTCACATTTCTCCAAGTTAAACAACAGCAACAGCTTGGAGGTTGTTTGCAAATAAAACTAGCAGGGTAAAGAGCTCATGTGTGTTGGGGGCAGTTCCTCTTTTGGCAGCTCTTGAACCAGCATCTCTTTACAATCTATTTCCTACAAGCTGGAAAAGCAACACAGGGCTTCAGTTTGGGGCCTTGGCAGAAGTTCCTTGGGTGGCCACTGTGACTAGATGGGCCACTCAGCTGATTCCACAGGGCTATTCTTATGTTGTTGTGCCCAGCAGAAAGGGGGCTTAGATTGCAGTGCTACTTCTGAGTAGGCATGCCCAGGATTGTTTGGTAAGTTATCATGAAGAGAACCAGGACTTATTGTGTTTCTAGGTTTGAACAAAATTTGATTTCTAAACTTAAGAAGTCTTATCCTGGATTTGATTTTATTGCACAGGAAAAAGAAGAAGACTCCCAGAAGATGGGATATCATCTAAGCTACACGAGATGAATGCAAACAGCTCTAATTTGTGTTGGAAGTGGGGTAAATTAAAATAAAATGTTTTTATTTTCTACTGCTGGTGGTCCTTCCTTTGGGAAGTCACTCTAACATTTTTTTAAAAAAGAAAAAGACCTTATCTACACCCTATTTTTTTTAATAAGCTCTTCTTCAAAAGGGGAAAGAATCATTGTTGTTCTATACTATAGCAGGAACTGGCGCTGTGGTCTAAACCACAAAGCCTAGGGCTTGCCAGTCAGAAGGTCGGTGGTTTGAATTCCTGCAATGGGGTGAGCTCCCATTGCTCGGTCCCAGCTCCTGCCAACCTAGCAGTTCGAAAGTACATCAAGTGCAAGTAGATAAATAGGTATCGCTCTGGCAGGAAGGTAAGCGGTGTTTCCGTGCACTGCTGTGGTTCGCCAGAAGCAGCTTAGTCACGCTGGCCACATGACCCAGAAACTGTCTGCGGACAAATGCCGGCTCCCTCGGCCTATAGAGCGAGATGAGCACGCAACTCCAGAGTCGTCCACAACTGGACTTAATGGTCAGGGGTACCTTTACCTTTAAGTTTTGGAAATAACTCTCAAGATTATTCATTCTTACCTGCTATTGCTTCAATACTTGGGATTGTGATGGTGCTGTAAGCACTAACACATTTGCAGGACCACGTAGTTACTAAAGTTTCCTCTGTATCTTCCTTTCCTGAAATGGTATCCACAAAGAAAGAACCCCACTGTTTAGAAACAGAAGGAAGAGCTTTTGGATGGTGTCCCTGAAACATAAACAAACATGGACATAAATACAAGTCCCACATGTGCTCTAATGCATACATGCATGGAATTTCTGTATAAAATCATTCTGAAATGAAGTGGTTGCCAACTTCGGTGCAGAAGCTACAAGAAATGCTACAAATTACAAAGGCATATGCCCTTGAGCTAAATGAATGCAATGCAACTAATAAATCCTCATGGTAGCAATTCTTTGGTTCTCTGAACACCCAAGGAAATTTAAAAGAAAAGAAATCACCATGGGGATGATTTCCTTTGTTTTGTCTAAATCCCCAAGCTTGCAGGTGTGGCTGTGTAGAAACCCCCGACTCTTGCATGGCTAGTGTGTAGCATCTTGGACAAAGGTAAGAGTCACACCTATTGTTCCCCCGTTTTTGCCTCTGGCTCTGCCCACCACCAGCATGTGACTCTTGAAAAGTTGCCGTGAAAATGTGGCTTTCAAGTTGAACAGGGTTCCCCACCTTGGAAACTGAAAGCTCGCAGAATGTATTTGAACCAGTAGTTCCTGTAAAATGATTACTGATACGGCTTAGCACCACCTACACCTTCCATGCAGGAGAGCTTTCTGTTCCCTTCCATAATGGAAAGGGTTCCATGGTCAGAGTTTTTTCATAGAAGAGAAGTTCCTGCACACATGGAACTAATCTATTTACCTACTTCACATCTTTCTAGGTTAGCTAATTGAGAGCAAAGTGCAGAAATACCTGCAGGGAGTCTAGTCATATACATCAAGGTGAGAGTACTGAGGCAGTTATAAAATTTTAGGCTTCAGGCAGATCAAGCTATATCATAAAGTCGAACAGCATTGGTGGCTATGAGGCAAAGGGTCTCTCCCCCCCCCCCCGCAGAACCCCCACAGCTTTGGAGCTATTTGCAAACTGGATTCTGCCAGACCATCACACTGCATGTATCTGTAAAGACCAAAATTTCACTTTTGGGGGGTGGGGTGGCTTTCTTCTAAAAATATGCATGGGTGTGTAATTCGTGGTCTGCTTTTGTTGTTGCATTTGGTTACATGTTAGTGGTTTTTTTGCTTGTTTGTCTTATTAACAACTGGTTATTAGAGTTTCAGTTGTATGTCTATATTTCATTAGAAGCTGCCTCAAAGTAAGTTACTCTGAAAGGCGAGATATTAATATTTTAAGTAAATGAAAATTGGGAGCATCATAATCAAATGCGACGCCAGCTGTTTCTGCCTGACACTTCCACTGGCTGATTTTTGTACTTCCCTCACTTAAGATTAAACAGGGGAGGTTGATTGGGATAATTTTAAAATAACCCCAAAACTGTGTATAGGAGACAAAAGGAAATCCCTTTGCTAATTGGTCTTACTAATTGGTATATTCCGTTGCAGGGATGTAACTGTTATGGGCTGCTCTCCTGTGAAAAGGAGTATAATGAACTAACACCCCTGACCTATCCTAGCCCCACTCAGCTCAGAACCCTTTGATCAACCCAATTGGCTTCTCCTCTGCTTGCTTGCTGTCACTGGTGGTAGATATAGGAATTCAACACAAGCCTCTGGGGTAATTACAGAAGCTGCCTGGCTGAACTAAAGGTCTTTAAGGACAGACCATGCAAGACAGAGATTAGAGTGCAAAATCCAGGAAATGGACACCAAACTAATTCCCTTGGAGCACATGCAGGATTCCTAAAACTGCCACCCCTCCCTTTGTTTGGTTAGAAGCAACTACCAACACCCTCATGAAGGCACAGGAGAAAACCCCTCTCCCTGGTGGTAACATTTGTTCTGAGTATTCCGAAAATATGAATACACGTGCGGTTTTTAAAAAGTGTTAGCAGCCTGACCTACATGAAGAGCCTCTTATTTTGATTTTTGTGGGGTTTCTGTTGCCGTGTAGAGCTGGGGAATAAATTTCTTTTTTAAAGGGTGTATTTGTCTTTTTCCCTGGATTTGCCAAACACAGGAAGGAAACTGCCGTTTGAACACATTTCCTCCCTCTTCTGACTTTGATGTGCTATTCTACGCTATTCAAAAACAAAGAAAACCTGCATGACACAAAAGGCAAATAGTGTTGTTATTATTATTAATAGTATTACTATTATTACCATCAATCACAATTTAGTAGCACTCTCAGTGTATCAAGAGCTTCATAATCTTTTATTTTGTTTATTCTAACATAAGATGAGATACGTAATTATCCCAAACTTATAGATGAAGAACCAAGGTCAAGGGAATAGATGTTTACTCAAGGCCATTCAGTAAAATTAATGGATGAGTAGGAACCACACTGTCTCCTTATTCATGCCCTCTGTACCTTAAATCATTAAATTCTTGCAACATGTCAACAACATAAAAACTTTTTTAAATGGTTTCCTTTGAATTTTACTGTCACTATACAGTGGTACCTTGGGTTACATATGCTTCAGGTTACATACGCTTCAGGTTACAGACTCCGCTAACCCAGAAATAGTGCTTCAGGTTAAGAACTTTGCTTCAGGATGAGAACAGAAATTGTGCTCCGGTGGCACGGCGGCAGCAGGAGGCCCCATTAGCTAAAGTGGTGCTTCAGGTTAAGAACAGTTTCAGGTTAAGTACGGACCTCTGGAACAAATTAAGTACTTAACCCGAGGTACCACTGTATAGGGGCATATGTACTGGGTCATGGTTTCGATCCCCATGTTGGGCAAAAGATTCGTGCATTGCAGGGAGTTGAACTAGGTGACCCTTGAGGTCCCAAATCTACAATTCTATTATTCTGATTAGTGCTTATTTGTGCTTGCAAGTACGGTCAGTACAACATTCCATACTGGGTGACGACTGTTGCTCAGAGGAAGTGCATCAGCTTCACATGCACAAAGGCCTAAATTTAATCCCTCGTCTCTCCTGGTATGCCTGGGAGAAACTCCTTCCTGACTCCCAGGAGAGCTACTGCTGGTCAGTGTGGACAATGCTGAGCTAGATGGGCTAAGGGTCTATCTTGACAGAAGCTTCCTGTGTTCCTAATGAAGAACATTGTTTTTCTGCTCGTACTTCAAATTAATGATGGCAACTTCTTGGCGACCCACCAGGGAATTGTTATGCACAAATTCCATCGAAATGAAAAGTCCAGGGTTCTTTCCAGCAGTGGCCCTCTGCTGGCAAAAGGCGTCTATCAGCATAATGGAAGGAAGGTGGTTCTCACCCCTCTCCCCTCCCCAGTTTCTCATTTTTATCCACACCCCACAATCCTCTGGAGCAGATTTGAAGGGAGGCATGTTGACCTGCCGGGAGAAGGGGAATGGCGAAAATCACCTCTCCTCCTGTTCTGCTGATGGAACACTCTACTGGATCAGAGTGCCTTCCGTCCCCAAAGGGACCCCACAGATACTTCGTTTCTAGTTATTGCCAGCTTCTCTAATAGAATTTCCTGGTGGATTGTGCACCCAGTGAAGGTGAATATATTGACAGATTTAATAACGATCAAGAGGAAAAACAACGGGATTTTTTTCTTGGTGAAGATTAATATAACTATAAATGTAGCAGTGATCAACAAAAACAAAGAAAATGGGAAACGTAGTAATTCGTACTAGGGGTTATCATTTCTGGCCAAATAAATGTTTGTGAGCTGAAATATGGGTTTTCAGCTAAAGGAGCTAAGGAGATATGTATGTAAAATGCATAAATCTGATGCATATCCAAACACGTATGAATGCACAACTGAACACAGACACCACCAACATGCATTGCATTGTTTTAAGTGGGATGTGCTTTGGAATGTGCATTTTTAGGCACATTCCTATCGACATTCTGTCACAACTAATCCTGCTGAATTAGCCTTCAGAGTATTTCTAGATAAGAAGTTTAGTACTAAAAAATTAAAAAATAAAAGTCTAGTAGCACCTTAGAGACCAACTAAGTTTGTTCTAGGTATCCGCTTTCGAAAGCTCATACCTAGAACATTTTTTTAAAAAATTAAAATTATTTCAACTGCATAAGACCAACATGGCTACCTACCTAAGTTTAGTATTGTCACAAAATTCTGCTGTACTTATATTTGAATGCATGCACAGATCATAAAGTTATGATGTTTTGAATTTAATATAGGTGGGGCTGGGATTACATGGAACCTGGATATTTAGCATCCTTACCTCATACTTTCCTTTCTTCTCTAAGGGTTCGGACTCTGTCTCTGTAGGCACCATAGCAGGGTCCCCTTGAAGCTCCTCTAAGATGAGGACAGTCTCCCAGTTACTATAGTGATGGGCTGAGAAAATATCTGAGTGCATGCTGTCCCCAAAGTAAACAACCTGAAAGTGAAGCAGCAAGACAGTTGCATTCTGCATGCAGTGAAAAGGCACAATGAAGCACAGAAGAGTTCCAAAACAGCCAAATAAACAGTATAGAAGTGCAATAGATATTTCTCTCCATCCTCCTCCCATTCCCACCCCAAAACTACAGTGGATTGTTATGAGGTGGCTTCTGCATGGGACAGGAGAGTTTGGCAATGGCTACTGGCATTTCTGGAGCATCAGGCAGAGGGAAATTAGTCACTAAATTAGGATAAGGGAAGCTTATATGTGAACTTTTATTGGAAAAATGAGTCACATCAATGCCAGGTTTTCCTCTTTACATGCCCAGGTGTGCTTTGTAGAGATTTTATGCAATTAAAATCCAAGAAAAATACAGAATAAAGAACAAACACTGTTAATTATCATATCATGCTACCAGCTAAACTTGCAGATGGTCAGCATGCAGTCTGAAAGGCAATTTATTTTGGCCCACCAAAGTTTAAAGGTTTGATATAAAACATTCCCCAGTTTCACTCATAAGGGGGGAAAAACCAAGCTTTTTCCAAAGGTTATTTAAGTTGAATGTCACATATGTCTCTGGATTGTTTTTTACCTGGCCACAAATATTGAAGCATTGCTAGTAAGCATTAATATTTATAATAAAGCCTGATAATCTATGGCAGAATCAAAATGTATGGTAAAATTTTCTTTTTGTCTCCTGCTCCTGACCAATTCATATATTACACTGCTACCACTGTTGTAAGTTATCAACTCTGCTGCCTCTAAAATGTTGATCAGTTGCACTAATACACTGAATTTAGGCTGATGTTGAGAAAGCAGCTGCACAAAACGATGGCCTGTTATTTTACTTAATCTTCGTTTTTCTAAATACCTTTGGTTCTAGTTTGCCAGTCATCTTCTTCAGCAACTCATACAAATGGGTTGCATTACCTTGGGAGTACCAGCCAGGTTTGTCCAAGGATAAGAGGGCCTCTTGTTCCTCGTCATTCTCTGAAGGAACAAAGCAAATTTACCCGTTTTAGCAAAGACACAATGAAACCAACCACTCTTCTGGAAGAACTGCTACAGAGAAACGTTGACCAGGCATAGCTTTGGGACTGTTACTGAGTGATTTCTACATCGTAACCAACACAATGCCTTTCCTCATTGCTTCCCATTCTTGGGAGTCACCAACAACCATTGGCGGACGAAGGTGGGGGCAAGGGGAGCGGGCCACCCCAGGTGCCATCCCGGGAAGGTTACACTGCGGCCGCCCTCGCCCCCCGGAACACTTGGCACTTGCCGCACACCCTGGGACACTCGCCACTCACACCCTGGGACATGCACCACTTGCTGCACACCCCTCTGACACGCGCCATGCCCCCTGGGGCATGCGCCAGCCACACCCCTGGATGTACGCCACTCCCGGTGCCAGAGCAGGTAGCCCCGCCACTGCCAACAACCTCAACAACTTGACTGATTGTGCAATTTATCTCAGAGAGACCCTTCATTCTGCTTGAGCCATTGCCTTTTAAAAAATTCTTCATTGAAAACAAAATAAGGGCTGCTGTATGATGGTATTTTCCAAAAATGTAAATGCAGAAGCTTGTGATGTTACATGAAGATTGGCCAGTGAAGGAACCAGCAGCCTGCTTTTCTTTCTTTCTTTCTTTCTTTCTTTCTTTCTTTCTTTCTTTCTTTCTTTCTTTCTTCTTTCTTTCTTTCTTTCTTGAAAGAGGACAAACTCTACATGGTAGTTATTTGTATTTTGTCCTTTACAAAACATCATGCAAGAGGTTAGTACTGGGTTACAGCAAGTGCACACGTGAAGAGAAAATGATGAAAGCCAATAGCACGACTGGGACTATTGCCAGGTTGGAGCAATGGAAGGACTCGGTAAGTCGTAGCAGGTTCATGTCCTGTTAGTCAAAGCAGTGGCAAAATGGACTAGAGGGAAAGGACTGACAAGATGGAGGGGGGATAAAGAGAAGGGCAGAATGGGAAGGAAGCAGGGCAGTCAGAGAGCCTGGAGGGCAGATGTGCAGACTAACAGGCAGACACAGCTATGGAGAGAGACCCATGGAGCCACGTCAGGAGGAGCTAAAAGATTGGCTTGAGGGGAAGAATCAAGTAGCGGCCTACTAGGACAATAAGGGCCCTTCTTCCTCCATGCTGCAGCTTCACATAGCTCACCCCAAAGGGCTCCAGGTTTAAAAAATGCATTAATAGAGAATTATCACTTAGATGCTATCTGCTCATTGTAATGACAAAATTATAAGGTAACAATGCTGCAAGCTGCAACTTGCCGTGAGTGGCAGCCTCATTTTTGTATTGTGTATCTTACAATATAAGTCTGTAGGTGGATGCTCTTCCAAGAGCACATCCACAGAACAGGCCTGAGATGTGTCAGATATGGAGCCAAGAATAACAGGGGTTTGAAGCTATTTGGCAGATGAGGGATCTGTGCAGGTTCTATAAACTGCACAGTTGTACTCTAGGTGGGGAATCATGTGTTTCTGCTTTTGTCAGACTACTTCCTATGCTTCTGGCTTAGCAATACAAACGCTAAACTAAAAGCACAAATTCAGGCTGCAATCGTATACAGACTTGGCTAGAAAGTCTCAAGGAATTAACTGGGAGCAATTTCTGCATATACATATGTAGGAATGCACTATCAAGTTCTTATTCACACAAAGCATACCCTGGCACAGAATCCATTCCACCAGGCAATAGGTAGACGATCTCCCTTCTTGTCTCAACAATCTGCTTCACAAGCACTTTCACATGTTCCGCTATGTACACATTTACACCGTGTACAAGGAAGAAAAAGATGAAATGGTTTCAATTCCCTTCAGGGGCATGCCAGGTTTCCAACATGTGGTCCGTGTTAATGCTTTCACAAGAGCGGCCAAAAGCGGGTTCAACTAAGAATTCATTTACACAGTAGCATTTTTTTTAATGGTAAAAGATTACTTGTAGACAAAATATTTATTTGAGATGTTTCATAACTTGGACAAAAAGAAAGGAAATTCAAAGTTAGAACAGATGCTTTATTGTCTTTTATTCATGCAGAAAGACTCTTTTCCTTTTGTGCTTTTTCGCATTAGCAAATCATCAGCAATACGGACAAAGAAAGTTGTGTTATTCTTAACTCATCATTTCTTGGTTTATTTCTTAGTTTGGTTCAAAAGCATTGGTTCCTTCTGATGGTTCTTCTTTGTTCTATTAATGTAATTCTATTTTAAAACACTTTGTTGTAGGAAACAACAAAGTTCAACAAAGTTAATAAGAAAGACAATTGTTGCCTTGCTATTGTTATTTTGTTGAAAAGGGCTGCCAAACACTCGCTTCAAGATAGCAGAGCAGACAGATAAACCTCATATTTCAAAAGGATGGCATGTCCATAAAAACAGAATGTTATTATATGCAGTTTCTTCAAAGGTTTTATAATAAAACAATTCCTAAAAATGCTGATTTGTCCTCCTGCCCATGCCAAATCACAGTGACCATCTGTAAAAGCCCGCAGTTATATTCATTAGTTTCTATACAACCTAGGACTTTTAGAATACTGGCACTAGAAACTTTTGACTGCTCTTATGTGCAAATCTTGTAGATAAAAAACTTATATTTCAAAAAGAGAATTAAAGATGCTCATGCACAGGTAAACTAATACCTGCATGCACACGCATAACAGCCTTTATGTTTTCTGGCCTGCAGATACACCTTCTTCTTCTTCTTTTCTTCTTCTGGATGGTGGCTAATGGATTGAGGCTAATGGACTGAGGTTGAATCCTGACAAGACAGAAGTACTGTTCTTGCGGGGGACAGGGGGTGGGCTGGTGTAGAGGACTCGCTGGTCCTGAATGAGGTAACTGTGCCCCTGAAGAACCAGGTGTGCAGCCTGGGAGTCATTTTGGACTCACAGCTGTCCATGAAGGCGCAGATCAATTCTGTATCCAGGGCAGCTGTCTACCAGCTCCAATCTGGTATGCAGGCTGAGACCCTACCTGCCCACGGACTGTCTCACCAGAGTGGTGCATGCTCTAGTTATCTTTTGCTTGGACTACTGCAATGTGCTCTACATGGGACTACCTTTGAAGGTGACCTGGAAACTACAACTAATCCAGAATGCGGCAGCTAGACTGGTGACTGGGAGCGGCCGCTGAGAACACATAACACTGGTCCAGAAAGACCTACATTGGCTCCCAGTACATTTCCAAGCACAATTCAAAGTGTTGGTGCTGACCTTTAAAGCCCTAAATGGCCTCGGGACAGTATACCTGAAGGAGTGCCTCTACCCGCATCGTTCTGCCCGGACACTGAGGTCCAGCACTGAGGACCTTCTAGCGGTTCCCTCACTGCGAGAAGCAAAGCTACAGGGAACTAGGCAGAGGGCCTTCTCGGTAGTGGCACCTGCCCTGTGCAATGCCCTGCCATCAGATGTCAAAGAAATAAACAACTACCTGACATTTAGAAGACATCTGAAGGCAGCCCTGTTCAGGGAAGCTTTTAGTGTGTGACATTTTAATGTATTTTAATCTTTGTTGGAAGCCGCCCAGAGTGGCTGGGGAAACCCAGCCAGATGGGCGGGGTACATATAATAAATTATTTATTTAGTTTTTTAGTTTTTATTTTATTTATTGGATTTATATACCACCCTTCATCATAACATCTCAGTGTGGTTCACATTATAAAATACAGGAAAAACATGAAAATAAATAAAATGAAACGAGACAGCAAAACAATAACCTCCCCTTCCCACAGACACATTTAAAAGGCTGTAGAATATTAATCAGCCAAAGTCCTGGTGGAAGAGGAACATTTCCAAGTGAAATCAACAGGACGTAAAAACACTAAATTTATGCCCAAAGAAATACAGCAATATATTTCAGCCCTATAATATGCAGCAAACAGTATCTTCTTCTTCTTCTTCTTTTTCCTCCTCTTCCTCCTCCTCCTCACCAGTATTTTGTGCAAGTCTAGTATGTTGAAAAACTTGTATTTTGAAAGAATAAAAACTTTTTTTCAAAAAGATGCATGCCCACAGGTAAACAAATACCCATGCACATGCCCACAACAGACATCTGGTTAACAGAACTCATGGTGCACAGGGAAGTAGCATTTGAGGGGCGGGGGCAGCACACAGCTCAGATACATGCCGTGAAGCACCACCTGCTAGAGTGGCTAGGAAACATGAGGTAGATTTCAGAGGCATAAAACTGAAATAGCTCAAGTTTCTACAAAGGAGCACAAGCTGGTACCTGGAAAAAGCTACCCATGTATGCACTGACAACTTTGCGTGGGCACATCCACAGGGGAGAAAGGCAGAAAAAGAAAAGTATTTTGTGTAAACTTTGTGGCCCTGTGCAGACATAATGCTTAACACAATGCCTACCTTCTTCAACTATGGTTAATACTATGTATGAATGTGAAAACAAGGGTTGTAGAGCCTTGTGGCCTTCCAGACTAGACAACAATTCACATCATCCCTGACCATTGGCAGTGCTGGATAGGGCTGATAAGAGTTGGGAATCAAACAGTATCTGGAGGGCCACAGGTTCCACATCCCATACTGAAACGAAGCTCAAAGTGTGGCTGTCAATGAAGATGTGAAACTGAATGGATTTAAGAGTAACTTCCTCCTTTCACATAGCTTGGATGACTAATTGAATATGACAGTTGAATCTAGAACAGGCACCCCCAAACTCGGCTCTCCAGATGTTTTGGGACTACAATTCCCATCATCCCTGACCACTAGTCCTGTTAGCTAGGGATGATGGGAGTTGTAGTCCCAAAACTGCTGGAGGTCTGAGTTTGGGGATGCCTGATCTAGAATAAGGGTTGAATCATGAGTACAGTGGGTCTACTCTAAGCATTATTAAGCCTGGATCCAACCCAATGGTATGAATATCACTCAGCAGATTAATAATTTAGCTACCTTGCTTTGCAGAATGAATTCTTTTTCACATTTTACAAACTTATTTTAGTCTGAACTATTATTATTATTAATT